CGGTGAGAATCAGATATCGAAGCTACGAGATTAGCTTGAATCACAAATCATGATGTCACCACCGAACTTTTATTTTAATCAAGGGAAGGGAGAAAAGATCGAACAAAAATCCTAAGTAAAATGCAAAGAAAAAAGTTAAGCCTAAAGCTAAGTAAAGAGAGATCAAAGGTACGGGGGTTGGTTATACTAAGGGAAGATACTAGCACCCTAAGTATCTGTAGTACTCTACAAGAACCTCTTAAAATATTTGTTTTACTGCTAAGATTGTTTGCTGAGGATAAAGATGGGCAAAGAAAAGAAAAGGTGGAAAAAGAAAAAAGGTAGCTCGCTAGGATCTCGCAATCCTATACCTATGTATCCTTAATAGGAAGTTAGAGCAATCGTAGTTCGGAAACTATGATGGAAAAGGGTGTAAAAACGGAAAAGAGTATGAAAAAAAGAAAAGGTTGTTCGCCAAAGATCGGGGCCTTGTGCTTACGTATTCTCAAGAGGAACTTGAGAAATCAGAGGTCTGTAGTTCGTGGAACCATGGGTTACCAGGTCCTAAGTACCAAGAACAACAAAGTCAAGTAGAGAACAAACGAGGGACATGCACAACGATAATAAGTCAACACACAATCCCTTCCTTTAGATTAGGTCAACAAGGAATAGAAGTAAAGCAACAGGTACATTGAAGAACATCATGTAATCAGAAAACCAAAATACGTGGCAAAGAATTGTGAATAAAAACAGATATAACCCTCAGACGCACGCGGTAAAGCATCGTGAAAAAAAATCAACAACACGTTCACGGCAAAGCATCGTGATAAAAAATAAAATGTCACGGCAAAACATCGTGTAAAATAACTGACTATGAAAACATACACGAAAAAGCATCGTGTAATCAACGAAAGTATTACGAAAAGCAATGCAAAGTTAATGATCAAGTTATTAATAAAAATAATTAAATAATTAATCAACTATTTTAATAAAATTTAAACACTAAAAATTAAACAATTAAACTAGATTAATAGTAATTAGTAGAAAAGTGAATAAATTAAGACTCTTAAATTAATGAGAAAATTAAAATATTTTGGATAAAAATATTAAACTATTATTAAAAGAAACTATAAATACCTAAATAAACTAATAAGATATTTTTGTTGTCTTTATAAATTAAATAAAAAATTATAACATTATAAATTATATTACATCCGTTTTTATATATAAGTGACAACTCAGTTTTTAGGTTCATTGAATAATTAATGTATTTGGTCAGTTTATAAACTAAATACATTAATTATTAAATAAATCTAAAAAGTGAATTGTCTCTTCTAAAAAGAAACAAAGATAGTAATTTCTACCATATTTAAACATACAAGACTTCACACATTCATATTAAATATAAAACACTTCCAATAATATTAATTACACATAGTACAATTGTTATAACACATACACGTACAAGCACGCACATACGACACTTTAAACATATATTCACAATTAAATATACAGTCTCATCACAAACTGCACACACAATTTACTATAAAAACAATATCTTCCAAAGAGAGAGATAACTAATGTCATGTATCAAATGATTTAAAAAAACATAAATAAAATAAAGCTGAAAGTAAAAAAGAACAAAAACTAGAACCTGAAACTGTTACTCGTAGATCCTTCCTTTCATATCATGGTAAGGTTAGTGATATAGGGAAACGACGACGGAGACGTGGCGACTACCATGAGAATGATGGTGTGAGCTCTTGTAAAGCTTTTGGTGGTGGTGTTGCTGCCATGAGAATGGTCCTTGTATGGTGAGCTTATGATTATTAAGTTGTGTAGAAAAAATGTGAGATAAATATGAGAATGGTCTTTCGTAAACTATATATTTTTCCAACTTATTTCATGTTTATAACTATAACATTGATAAATACAATACTTATTGTTAATAACTTATATTATTTATAGTTGAAGATCTCTATGCCATTTATTGTAGTCAATGCCTAATAATGCTTTATATTCTCATTTTTAAACATATTGTCACATGATGTATTTTTACAGATGAGCAGAAACACATTTACTTTGATGTCATAGATGCCGTAGACAAACAAAATGGTGGTGTGTTTTTTTGATATGGTTATGGTGGAACAGGTAAAACATTTATGTGGAACACTCTCGCTGCTGCTATTCGTTCTAAACATAAAATTTTATTGCCGTTGGCATCAAGTGGGATTGCAAGTCTGTTGTTACCAGGTGAAAGAACAACACATTCTAGGTTTAAGATACATGTCCCTACTTTACATTCTTCAATTTGCAACATTGACAAAAATGATGATCTTGTTGAGCTTTTAAAGATAACAGATCTTATTATATGGGATGAGGCTCCGATGGCTAATAGATTTTGCTTTGAGGCTCTTGATAAATCCTTGAGAGACATTATGAGTGAATTTCCACAGGCTACAAATAAATTATTTGGAGGCAAAGTAGTTATTTTTGGTGGTGATTTTAGACAAATTCTTCCCGTTGTTCCAAGAGGTAGTAGATCTGATATTATTCATTCAACTATCAATGCTTCTTATATTTGGGATCAGTGCAAAGTCCTCAAGCTTACAAAAAATATGCGCCTACAAAGTGGGACAACATCACAATACATTGAAGAAGTTCGTATATTTTCTGAGTGGATTTTAGCTATTGGAGATGGTACCATGGGTGAGGCTAATGATGGTTATGTTAAAATTAATATTCCTGAAGAATTTTTAATTTCAAATTTTGCACATCTGATTAAGGCTATTGTTAATAGTACCTATCTCGATCTCATTCATAACTATCATGACCCCAATTTTTTACAAAGTCGTGTTATCTTGGCTTCAACAATTGAAGTTGTCGATGAGATTAATCAATATATCACAGATTTTCTTCCAGGTACTATACATGTCGTTAAGTTGTTTTCATGCTATTTTCATATATGACTTCATTTTTTAATTGTTTTATCATTTGTCTGTTTTTTTCCTTTTAGGAGAAGAAAAAAAATACATTAGTAGTGATTCTATTGATAGATCAACAACAACCGATTTTGATGCATTTGAGCACTTAACTGCTGAATTTCTAAATGCTCTTAAAACTTCTGGATTGCCTAATCATTCTATAAAGTTGAAGATTGGTGCCACAATTATGTTGATGAGAAACTTAGATCAATCCGAAGGTTTATGCAATGGTACAAGGCTCACGGTTACAAGGTTGGCTAATCATGTTATTGAAGCTAGAATCATTTCAGGAAAGAATATAGGTAACATCATTTATATTTTACAAGAATGTCTTTGTCCCCATCTCAGTCACCATGGCCTTTTAAGTTAGTGAGAAGACAATCCCCATTATTGTTTCTTTCGCTATGACAATTAATAAATCACAAGGTCAATTGTTAGACGTAGTTGGTTTATACCTGCCAAAGGATGTATTTTGTCATGGTCAGTTGTATGTCGCAATGTCCCGAGTTATGACAAAACAAAGTCTTAAAATATTGATTCATGATAAAAATAACAATACCACTGCTACTACCAACTCTGTCATTAAGCTTTCCACAATATTGATTCATGACAAAACAAAGAAGTCATCCACAATATTTAGTAGGTATAACATTGATACCCTTCTCTGTCATTAAGCTTTCCATTAAAATAAAATGATCTAATTGTTATCTAATTATTTATTTTTTTTACTGGTGAACATTGTCCTACCAACTCCAACAAACACATTATTTTGCAACATCGGTTACACGACATTTTGTTGTAGTACTTCTCTTTTACTATTTACTATTACTTTACTTCTTTGTTGACAACATTACAATTTCATTAAGTTATATTAGTTGTTTAATATTCAATTTTTTTGTTGTTCATTTATTATGATTTATTTTTAATTGCATTCTATTTCATTTAACTCTTGTACACGTATATTAATCAAAATTAGATATATATATTTACAAATTTAATTTTACCCATGCGGAAGCACGAGTTTTCTACTAGTTAAATATAAAAGACTTCCAATAATATTAATTACACATAGTACAATTGTTATAACACATACACGTACAAGAACGCACATACGACACTTTAAATATATATTCACAATTAAATATACATTCTCATCACAAACTGCACACACAATTTACTATAAAAACAATATCTTCCAAAGAGAGAGATAACTAATGCCATGTATCAAATGATTTATAAAAACATAAATAAAATAAAGCTGAAAGTAAAAAAGAACAAAAACTAGAACCTGAAACTGTTACTCGTAGATCCTTCCTTTCATATAGTGGTAAGGTTAGTGATATAGGGAAACAGCGACGGAGACGTGGCGGCTACCATGAGAATGATGGTGTGAGCTCTTTTGTAAGGCTTTTGGTGGTGGTGTTGCTACCATGAGAATGGTCTTTGTATGGTGAGCTTATGATTATTAAGTTGTGTAGAAAAAATGTGAGATAAATATGAAGTAAGTTAGTGATATTATTAGTGTGCATGGTGAGATGAATAATAGTTATTTTCATTAGAAGAGATGGTTAAATGTGAGTTTGTTGTTGGTTTCATAGAAGTGAAGTTTATAATGGTTTTACATGAAGGTTGTAAGGGAGAGTGTCATGTAGAGATTCATGTTTGGAAAGAGAGTTTTAATGGTTGTTGTAATGGTGTGTTGTGTTAGCTTGTAATTGGAAATGAAGATGGTGGCACTTAGAGATGAAGGTGAATGTTAGACAAGTGAGGTTGTTGTATGAAAGACATGGTGAATAGTTTTTGTGTGTGTAGGGATTATGTTTGTAGCATTTGTGGTAGGTGTAAAATTTGGGGAGATGTATCGACAATCTAGATATTGCTTGATTTCATCAATGTTATTTTTCTCAGCACAAGTAGTGTTGTCAGAAGGTTGAATAACAACAGAAATTCGATCCGAACCTTTGTATATGTATTTGAACATGTATTTGATAGAAGTACTTTGATTGCACTATTCCATGTTGATATGGGTTTCACACTTCAACAATAAACTTGGATTGCGAGGAACCCATGACCATTGTTAAGGATGGTTCCATTTTTCTCAATTGTGTGTCCATTGTCTCTTCTCCTATACACTGGATAGCCATCTTGATCCACAATTGTTGAAGATTGGATTTTTTTTGGGTAATACTTGGAGCATTTCATGTCTTTCATGTAAGGTGAATTCCGATTTTCCAAACCACAAGGACTATGAACCATGTGAATTTTAACTAAATTGTACAACTTTGGGTCTTTCAAAGGATCAGGCACTTCAACACTAATGATTTTGTCAATATCTTCAGGTGTTGGATACTTGTTAGAAGGATGCAAAAATATCAAATTAGGATTAGCATAAAGTAAATCAAATTAAAGTAAGGTTGAGAAATATAACTTACATGCAAGCACTTTGCCTAACACACAATTCTTTGTTAAATCTGAAAGTAATTGATCAAACATGATTTTGAATATCCTTGAAAAAACATCTGGTCTATCTTGTGCTTTCAAATGAAGAGATGTCAATACTCTTTGTATCGCAGGCCAATTTAGGTTGCAAGTAAAAGTTATAAATAAATCAGGAAATCCCATTTTACTACAAATAGTCATGCCATCATAGTACAATTGATCCATAAACCTACGAACGCCAACATAGGAAGATGGCAAAACCACTCTTTTCCCTATGGTTGATCCTGGTGTTTGACTTTGATCACCTTCATCATTAAGACTGTTGTACTTTGACGCCCTGAGTTTTGGTTGATTTTTTCGAATCCATTCTAATTTTTCAGACTCTAACATTGTGTAACCATCAACCAAAAATTGTTGGAATAGTCGTCGTGATGATAACAATGTCTTAGCTTCATTGAATCTACTTTGAATGCAAAAAGACAACCATTCCCTTATGGTTAGTCTGTTTCTCTTATTGTCTTGGAAGATGTCTAAGTCTCTATGAGTTATGTTAGGCCTATAACCATCTTTTCCGTAGGGAAAAATCAAAGGATACTAATAAGCTAAGTAACTTGCATGTAGCTCATTAATCTGTTGCAGTTGCCCTCCTTTTGTTTGCATGATTATATCTCTCATTTCAGTTGTGTCAATATCACCAACAACTAATGCAGCAACTTCTGACACAGTTGGTTGATTATATATTTGACCATCTGTTGTTCTATAAAAAATTAACCTCAATTTCAAGTTTTGAGTATTTTCGTCACTTAACCATTGTTTGGCCATCTGAAAACTTTTTGCACGAGGGTTATGTTCATAAAGCATTTCAGACAATTGATGTACAATCAAGGGATCAATGTTTTTGGTGTCCCTAAAAAAGAATAGAATACGAAATGTCTTAACATTGAATATATGGATTTAATATTGAAATTTAAGAAATGTGATGTGAAGGGATATCCTGCATGAATGTGGTAATGTAACGGTAAAATAAATGAGGTAGTTTAAATATACCTTAGACCTTGTATTCTATTATGGACCTCGTTTTCAGTGTCATAAATATAAAGTTGGGCAAATTTAGGAGGTTGACCAAACTTCCAATTCGATGACACGATTGACCTTGAATCCGAAGTGTTGGTGGTCCACCACCATTGTTAAAACGATTATCCAATTTTGCGTCGGGTGATGTGAAGGCAAACATCATGTTGTAAATTCGAATTTGTTGTTGAAACTTCCGGCTAGCTAAACTTTGTTGATCAAACAGGAGATGTGAGAGTATATCAGGAGGTTGTTTTAGTAACGAAAGTTCAACCTTTCCATTCCCACAACATAGCATAAATTTGGGATTAGTTGAATGACAACTTTTGTTCATCCTCTCTTGATACCACATCATTGCTTGACAATAACGACATTCAATTAAAAGGTCTCCGATATCATAATATTCTACATAAACCAACATAGGGTTATAATAGTATAAGAAAGTTAAAGTTGAGAAATGTAATGTAAAAATTTCAAACCTTCTGTTGTTCCTGTTTGATGTTCACGAATAACAAAAGCTGCATCTTAATCGTCGAATTCGAAACACGTATTATCTTCAGAATGATTTGCTACAAAGTATAATGATGTCCTGTTAAAATTTTGGAAAAGACCGTTTTGGTTAACATAATAATGCATAAATCAGTCTACTAACTTGCAAAAGGATCAAAGTCAAAATCATCGTTATCGTCAGTATTAAAATCTAGATTGTAAAAATTTTCAGATGAAACAAAATGGAAAACAAATGAAAAATGAAAATGAGTTAGATTTGGCTGAAGGAAATAATACTCTTTTTCAAGCTTGAAACACTTATGAGAGATATGAGAGAAAAAAGAGTATTTTAATATGTACCAAAAATAGAATGGGAAGGCCACATAACAAAAGACATGAGTTTGATGGTCAATATAATTGTATTTAGTCAATTACAATAAAAAAAACATAAATTAGTGTAAATAATTTTAGTTAAAAAGGGTATTTTAGGGAGATCGGGGGTATGTTCCATTTATACGTAGTTGATAAAAGAAAAAAACATAGGTTTTGTAGAGAGGTGTTGAGAAAATCATAGTCTAGAACGGAGTGTGAGTCTGCGAGAGAACGAAAAAATGGTAGTACTGAGCGCGACGACGATCGGAGCCCTATTGGGTTTGGGTACTCAGATGTATTCCAACGCTCTCCGCAAACTCCCCTACATGCGCCGTAATTCATCATCTTCTCGAATTTATCGCTAATTTCGTATTCAATTTCTCTTTCTTTTGTTTGATTGTTGCGATGGTGTAGATCCGTGGGAGCACGTATTGGGAATGGGATTGGGCGTTGTGTTCGTGAACCAGCTTGTGAAATGGGAGGCTCAAGTTGAACAAGATCTCGATAAGATGCTCGAGAAAGCTAAGGCCGCTAATGAAAGACGTTACATTGGTTCGTTTCTCTTCTTTTTTTTTCCTTCTTCTCTCATCTTTTAATTCTATGGTTTTGTTTTATTCTGCTATTGGATTCTTGATTTGTTCAGTTATTGCATTTTTTTGTGTGGAGTATTATTGCCTTAATGTTTTGATTAGTTATTTGGATGGGGGTTTGGGATGATTTAGAAATTCGATTTGGGGATTTGATTTGAGGAAACTGGGTTAGATTTTTGTTTGATTGCACCTTAATCTAATTGTGGAATGGAACAATAGTATTGCTTGCTGGCATTAAAATTTGAAAGAAGATGGAAAAATAATGAATCTGGTAAATTAGCTGGCATGGTGGATAGAAGCATGGATAGAACATTATGGCGAGAGTTGATCCATGTAGCCGACCCCACATAGTGGGATAAGGCTTTTTTTGTTGTTGTTGTTGGGGGTGGTGGTGGGAAGAAGCACTTGCCTTTACAATGTGTAAGAGACAGAAGTGTTACTTAATGGAATTATCAGAGTTACCAGCTCTGCAACTCCCTTCACTAAGTGGTATAGTATGCGAGGTTGATATTCGATCTTTCATACTAATTGGTATTGTATGCAAATTAAAAATATATATTTTCATTTAGTTGTAAGTATGTTACACATGCTGTATAATATACACTAAATGAAAATAGCTTAACCAAAGTCCTGGTTTTCAAACCCGAGTTTGGGCACGGGCATGCAATAGGGCCAAAACGTTTGCCGCTCGAGAGATTAGTCTCCGCAATTGCAGGTAGAGGATATCTGATTTACACAAAAATGTAAACTTTCATGAATAAAAACTTAAACATATTAAAAGACAGTTTACACCAGCATTTAAATAAATATACTTAGTAAATAAAACAGACAATCAGTAGAAAGATAAATAAAAGAATGTTCTACATGGCTATTATGGATCTAATGTGGATTAAATGACAATGACGTGGCTTGTTTATATGCTTACGTTGCAAAAGAGTAGACACTAATTTCTTTACTTATTTTAGTAAAAAAAAACTCAAAATTCATCTTCTTTCTCTTGATATGAACTATAATTTTTTTCCCACACCCAACAATGAACCAAAATTATTTTCCCTAGCCAAAGCTAGCTTTGTAATAACCAACTTATTTCTGTCACTACTAAGGTAAGAAAGTCAATAAGAAGAATTGGGTTGAAAATGCAACATTGTACCCCCCATTTTCAATTTTGGGACATTGTTGGCAATATACCCCCATTTCCCCTTAGTTTAGTTTGTTTCAATTAATGTTTGTTTAGTTCTCGTCCATTGCTCAAAACCCAAATTTTGCTTATTTTAATTATTGTTTTCATTTAGTTTTATATTGGGTGGTGGTTTTGTTTATCTGCATCATAATGAGTTTGAGTTTTTGCTTTGTGTTGAATTTGTAGAAAAATTTCAGCTTTCTTGCTAAATGTTTTTTTTGGATGTTGTTCCCTTTGGATTTGTTAGAATTAGTCACATCCTTGGTAGTCACGTGTAAATATGAGCTATGTAATTAGTTGCTAATGGATTTGGAATTAGCAATTACATTAATTTGTATCTATGGTAAATACACTAGAAATACAGTCTCGTGTAATCTGATTAGACACACATGAATTGCATGGTTTATTTAGTTTTTTGGTGCGGGGGTGATGTTAAATGTTGTCTTGTGAGTGGAATATGAAGAGAGGTGTCAATAGAGAAGGGTTGCAGATAATTTTTCCGACTTTTCTGGGTTGTTTATTAATAATTTTTGTTACTAAATTACGCACTTAGATTTTTGTTTTTAGGGAAACTCAAAAAAAGGTCAAAGTTGCAAAGGTTGTAAAGCTTATAGGACCTATGCAGAACAAAAAAGCTTATAGGACCTATCTAGTACAAACAAACAACTTAAAGAACCTCATGTAATTTTGCCTAGATACTATTACTTAAATGCAATGATATGACTTTGGGATTTGTAGTAATTCACAATGAAACTTAGATGATTATTTCCACATATTAACGCGATTTATCCGAAGCTTCATAGGATTGCCTGACTAACTCTGGCAAGGAATTCTATTAAGCTTTTATGATGTCTTTGGTGGTTATATTGTCTTTTGTTAATAATTTTCTTTTAGCTTTTCATGTAAAGAATTTATTTCCTGTCATTTAAATCGTGTCATTTTAGTTTTTTATGGTAATTTCTGTAGCACGTTCCCTGTCAGCAAGCTAAGTGTATTTGCACTAAATGTTTGGACTTCCAGCTGCACCAGTAGCTGGATGCTTTTGATATGGTATTTTTGGAATGGTAATTTATTTCCATTATTGCAGACGGAGATGATGATTAGTGCATGTCTTCAAGGATTGCATTGCAGCAGTTGGTGAAAATAATAATATAATGTGTTGTACGTGTCACCTTTGTTTTATGGTTTCATGTTGTTATGTTTGTAAAGCTGTTGTGCTATTTCCTGCTTATCAGCTTATTTTGTCAACAAGCTTCAGCAGGAGTTAAACTGTTGGAGGGCTTATAGCTTCATTAAGATTATGAATTAGTTGGATAAATTCTTTGGTTTATTATCAGGATAACTGTGACATCAAATACCTCTTGTCTAATGTGTGCAACGCATGCCATGAGTTTGGTAATAAACAAGACTTGAAATAGTTTCATTAGGATGCAATGTGTTATGACGGGAAGTTTCGCATGATACACCAATAATTTTAGTCAGAAATTTGTCTTACCGTTGATTAGAGAAGTAAATCTTATCACCATTATTCATGTTAAATTCACTCACCAGTCTTGGTAGGTAAATTATGATCGAATTGATTGGAAATTTTCAAGCTGAATACTGTGTTTCCACTACTCCAAAATTAGGGATGATAATTATATTCTTCTCCGGTGGATATCCGCAAAATAAGCGGGTATGAGTACAAGTACGAGTATCTTAATATATTGTGCGGGTATGAGTATAAGTACGAGTATCTTATTATATTGTGCGGGTATGAGTACAAGTACGAGTATCTTAATATATTGTGTGGGTATCTCGTCCCATACTCGAACGGTATATTTTATATTTTTATTTTTATTATTATGTGTATAATTTTATTGAATACATCACTATTAAATTTTTACGCATTTTAATATAAATATTTTTAAAAAAAAATTTAAAACTCAACAATAACATCAATTTTTCAAATTTTTTTAAAATGTTGTTAAAAAATTAAATAACATGATAAATTAAATTATAATTGTTCGGTTATTTTTTATTAGAAATAAGGGTAAATGAAGTTATTTTTTATTAAAAACGCAGGTAAACAAATATGAGTACGGGTACTTAGATATTTATGGAGTACGGGTACATAGGTAAACAAGTATGGAGTATGGGTACTTAGGTATTTATGGGGGTACAAGGTATTAATGGAGTACGGGTACATGTACAAACATTTGTGTTTAAGCGGATATAGATTGAGATATGGGGATTTTTTTAAACTGCGGGTTTGGAGACGAATATTATAGGATCACGGATATAGATTGAGATATGGGGATTTTTTTAAACTGCGGGTTTGGAGACGAATATTATAGGACCATGGGTACATGTACAAACATTTGTGTTTAAGCGGATATAGACTGAAATATGAGGATTTTTTTAAAGAGCGGGTTTGGAGATGAGTTTTTATGTGCATTTTGAAATATAAGCATTGCTATCTAAGAAAACGACACTTTTCCTTATATTGTTATGAAAGCTTTTCAGCTTGAAAAGTGTGGATAGAGTTTCAGTGCTCTTAAGGACTTGATTTTCATATCTTAATACTCATTTCCCTTTCATCTTTTTGTTAAGTTTCTTTTCCCTATTTTTTCTTTCTCTTTAACTCAATTGTCCTTTCTTTCCCTCCGTATAACTGAGAAGGCTTTGGAAGTTGAGAAGTTTTAACTAGGAGCTGGTTCAACACAGTAGTATTGTAAAGTTGTCACAGTAAATGATAAGATGAAAATATCAACACGTACTTTATAGTTATAGAAAGAACCACCTTTGAATATTGTCTCATGTTTGAAAGATATGAAGCAAGTATATTGCTATATTATAGAATCTAAAATGAAAATTAATGGAAAGTACTGTCACATCTTGTTACTGGTTGTAACATGTACATCATAACACTAACAGCAACTATGCCACTGTTTCTTTACAATTTAAATATGAAAAAAGAAAAACAAATGAGCAAAAAAAGTTCATGGACACAAGTTTGGTAATATTACGTTTCATTTCAGTCTTCGGAAACAAGTTTACTTGTAATTATCCAGATTCTTCTTCCCATAGTCCACCATTCTGTTATTGAAAGCATGGAGGAGAAGATCACATGCTTTCCTTGAAGACGGCCTCTCCTGTGGTGTAGCTTTCGTGCACTGCAAGGCTATCTCAAGCACTTGAAATGCAGTAAACTCTTCACTAGGTAAAAGAGGTTTCAGTTCAGGGTCTATCAATTTCTCACAGGTAGAGCCATGCACGTCAATATGCATCTCTACCCATCTCACCATGTCCATATCAGCTCCAAAAAAGTCACTAGTTGGCATTTTACCACTAACAAGTTCCATAAGAACTATTCCCATGCTGAAAACATCATTTTTTTCTGTTGAATGCAGGGAGAACGCATACTCTGCAAAACAAAAAAGCCAATGTCGAACAGATTTACTCATTAGTCAAAGTTAAACTAAAAATAAATCCAAATCAAAGTCAGTTCAGTTCAGCATTTTGATCAATACCTGGAGCCATGTAGCCATAAGACCCAGCAAAACAAGAATTCAACTCAGTATTAGAGTCATCACTTTCAATAAGTGCTTTTGCCAGTCCAAAATCTCCCAAGTGTGCCTCCATTTTGGAATCCAGCAATATGTTGCTTGATTTGATATCCCTGTGAATGATCTTCGGTGTACAATCGTGATGCAGGTACTCCACTCCTTGAGCTAATCCCACAGCAATTTTGAACCTTGTCTCCCAATCAAGGCTCTTCTTTACTTTGCTCGCATTGCCTGGTTTTCCATGAAGCCAATCCCATAAACTTCCATTCTCCATGTACTCATATATCAATAGATTCCAACCTGCTCCTTTGTTTCTATTGCTACAGAACCCTATTAGCTTCACCAGATGTCTATGCTTTATTCTCCCCAGAGTATTAACTTCTCTTAAGAAGCTTTTGTTTAGAAGAAAACCGTCTTTTGATGAAATCTTCTTGACAGCAACAGTCTCTCCAGTGGCCAATTCAGCTTTGTATATTTTCCCCGAACCTCCTGAACCAATCATGAACTCATCATTTAGATTGTTCGTTGCATCCATGATATCTTCCAACCTGAAATCCATCTTTCCAGCAGCTCTTAGCTGGAAAAGCGGTCGTCTCTGTGCTTGTGACGAAGAGGAAGAGTAGACATAAGAAGTCACTTTGCTGTCTTCCCTCGAATAATCTTGCTTGTTTTTGCAGAAGATTCTTACTGAAAGTATCAATAGTGCAATTGCAGCTAAAGTTGAAACGACAGATATTATCGCCACCGATGACTCACTTAGGCCTGAGGGCTTACTGCCAGAAGTATCATCACCGTCACAGCGGTCAAGAGGGCTTCCACAAAGATTTAAGTTTCCTTTAAATACCTCATTTGGCCACCGGGTGAATTTCTTGTCCAATTTCCCTTGAAGGTTGTTGAAAGAGAGATCAAGCTTTTCCAAGCTGCTCATTTCACCAACTTGTGGAGGGACTTCACCAGTAAGTTGATTGTGGGAAAGATAAAGTGTTTCTAATTTCGACATAGTCCCTAGAGAAGGTGGTATGCCACCTGAGAGATTATTGTAACCGAGGTCTAAAACGACTTGTAAATTTTGAAGCTTTCCAATCTCACTTGGCATCTCACCATTAAAGCTATTCCTAGAGAGTTGAAGCTCAAAAAGCTTGCTCAACTTACCTATCTCGCGAGGAACCGGTCCTGAGAACTCATTACGGTCAAGTCGGAGGACATTAAGATATGTAAGCTCGCCTATATCAGCTGGGAGGCTTCCATTGAGTGAATTGTCATTGAGAGAGAGAACTAGTAATTTGGAACATTTGAACAGGCTTAATGGAAGAGGTCCAGAAAAGTTATTGGAAGAGAGCTTAAGCTCTCCCATCTGAGGCAATTTTCCAAACCAAGATGGTATTTGTCCATCAAGAAGATTACTGTTTAAATCAATGTAAGCCAGTTTATTACACAAAGAAAGCTCGGCGGGTATTGGTCCGGTGAGCGAATTTCCTGACAGGTCTAACAATGATAGGTCATGAATTTTTCCCAAGGTCCTTGGAATTTCACCAGAAAAATTGTTGCTGCCTAAACTTAGCCTCTTTAGGGAAGGTGAGTTTCCCAATTGTGGCGGAATTTTTCCGTCAAACTCATTGTCGGTAACATCGAAAGAAATAAACAATTGAGAACTACACAATGCAGCTATACTACCATTCAATCTGTTCTTTGAAAGATTCACTCTAGTCAAGTTTGCTACATTTATCAATTGGCGAGGAAGGTTACCTTGAAGAGAATTGTTGTAGAGCATGAGCTGCTGCAATGAGTGGAGGAATCCAAATGTTGCAGGAATTGCACCCAAGAGCCGATTGTCGGCCAAACTCAGGATCTTCAGTTTATGACAGTTACCTAAACTGGCAGGAATTTCACCCACAAGCTCATTCTGCCTGAGGTGAAGAAAATTCAACTCCTTCAGCCTTCCAATAGTGAATGGAATTTCTCCCTTGAATCTGTTGCCAAAGAAATCAATCATTTGCAAGCTTGAACAGTTACCAATCTCCATAGGTATAGCCCCAGATAATTGATTATCATAAAGATATAAAATTTCCAACTTCCCAAGCATTCCAATCTCTCTCGGAAGATCACCCTTCAAATTGTTGTGATACAATGCAAGTGTCTGCAAGTTGCTGAAGTTCCCTATGAATGGAGAGATGGAACCAACCAAGCTATTGTTGTTGAGCAAAAGATCAGTTAACTCCACCAACCCATAAAGCTCAAGAGGTATGGATCCATTGAGTGAATTGTTCGACAAGTCAAGTTGTTTCAGCGATAGACACTGACTCAATTCAGATGGAATTTCACCATAGAGTCCACTTTCTGACAGCATCAAATGTTCCAAACTTGTTGCATTGGAACATATTGTTCTTGGTATGACACTATTAAGGTTGTTACCAGACAGAACCATGAAACTTAACTGACCCATGTTGCCGAACTCCTCTGGAATCCCTCCACTGAGCTTGTTCATTGACAAATCAAGTTTTTGAAGGTTACTCAGTTGAGCTAGAGACGGTGGAATTGCACCTTCAAGCTGGTTCC